CAAGCAGGGTCCCCGGATGTGGTATATTCTGATTTCCATCTTGACAGTTTGAGGGAAATGTACATTCATCTGAGGGGGGCCAAGTTAGGTCTTCAGAGGGAAGACTCTGTAACCTTGCCAGACATCAATGTGAGGAACTTGAGGGAGGAGTGAAGGGACCTCTCCCTGCAGATAAAGGGGACACTAGTCCCGCTCTGCCCTTGCTGTCACCTCTGGAAAGCCCCAGGCAGGGTCCCCAGATGTGCTGTTTCCCGACTTCCATTTTGGCATTCTGAGGGGTGTGGCTTCAGATCAGCAGAGGGAGAAGTCCTAGATCTGGCCAATCATGGAGCGGAGAACCTTGAGGGAGGCTTGGGGGGCCTCCCACCACATATATAGGGGGCTGCAGCCCCGCCTTGCCCTGGCAGTTCTCTCTGGTGTCTTCAGTAGTACTGTTTCCCGTCTTCCATTTTAGGACTCTGAGAGAGGTGAGGCTGTCTTTGAGGGGTGCAGGGTCAGGTTGGTAGAGAGAGGAGTTCCAGGCCCAACCAGAGTTTAAGATGAGAACCCTGAGGGACAGTGGATCTCTCCCCACAGAGTGGGCTGGGGGTAAAAGCCCGGCTGTGCCCCTGGGATGCCCCAGTCTGGGGTGGTAGGATGTGTTTTGTGACTTCCATTTTAGTAGTTTGAGGAGAATAAGGCTTCCTCTTAAGGGGCCCAACTCAGGTTAGCAGAGGAAGGACTTCCAGGCTCTGCCCAGTATCAAACTGAGAACCTGGAAGGAGACCTCCCACGGCAAATAGAGGGGCCCGACTTTTGCCCTGTACTTGTTGTCAGCCCCGAGAAGCCCAAGACAGGGTTCCTGGATGTGATGTATACAGGCTTCCATCTGGGGTGAGGGGGATGGGCGAGACTTTTTCTGAGGGGGCTCTGCTCAGATCGGTAGAGGGAGGGGTCCCAGGCCCTTCCTGGTATTAAGTTAACGTCCCTGAGGGAGGAGTGAGGGGTCTTCCAACCCAAAGGAGGGGGAGGCCTCAGCCTTTAAGTGTCCCCTGCTGTCCCGTCAGCCATTAGTGACCCCAGACAAGGCTCCCAGATGTAGTGTATCCCGACTTCCATCTTGGGATGGGGGGGGGGGCGAGCGAGACGTTTCCTGAGAGGGCTCTGCTCATGTCGGCAGAGAGAGGAGTCTCCGGCCCTGCCGGGTATTAAGTTCAAGTCCCTGAGGGAGGAGTTAGGAGACTTCTAACCCCAGGTAGCGGAGGGCCTCAGCCCACAGGCAATCCCTGCTGTAGTCCCTTGGTGACTCCATACAGGGTTCCTGAAATTGGTGTTTCCGGACTTCCATCTTGGGATTATCGGGGGAGGGGGGAGGCTTTTTCTTAGGGGGCCGGACTCAAGTTGGCAGAGGGAGGAGTGTGAGGCCGCCCGGGTATTAAGTTGACATCCATGAAGGTTGAGTGAGGGGTCCTCCCACTGTGGACAGTGGAGGTTTCACAGAAATCTGCTCCTCATGTGAGCACTGAAAAGCCTCAGGCAACGGAATTAGTCATCAACCCTCTCAGCTGCTTTTCTGGGTTTATAGGGAGACGGGTGCCTTAGGCTGAGGGAGGCATCCTCAGGTCTGCAGAAGGGAGGCAGTGCAGGCCATGTTAGAAGTTAATGTGAATACTTTTAGGATGGCTAATTGGACCTTCCGTCACAGAGGGGGCCCTCACAAAAACCCTAGCATGCCCTCCCCACCCCCATCAGCCATGGCAGGACCCAGACATTGGTACTTTCTCATTTGGAGCTTGCTTCATGGAAGTGAGGCCTTGACATGAATACTTTGAGGGAAGATGGAGGGTACTCCCTTGCTGCAGAACAGATGGGCTCCCCTGCTGTTAACCCTGGAAAATCTCGTGCAAGGGTACAGGATGTGACCTCTTTAATGTCAGCTTGGCAGAAGGAGTCCCAGACCCTTCTAGGGGTCAATTTAAGGACTGAAGAAACCCTTTATATCAGAGCAATTGGATCCCAGCTCTTCTCCGCCCCCGCTGTCAACAAGGGAGGATTAGAGGCATGGTGATTGGATATGGCACCCCTTCACTTTTGTCTGGGGGGAGGTGTCTCAGGAAGGTGACAACCTTGGTCTATCGGGTGTGGCCTGAGTTCAGCAAAAGGAGGAGTCTCATGCCCTGCCAGGTGTCAAGATGAGGACTCTGAAGAGGATTAGGAGAGGAATCCCACAGAAATCGGCTTCTGCTGGTCAGCCCTGGGAGGGCACAGAGTAGGGTTGCCAAATATGATTCCTCAGTTCCACTTTGAGAGTCAATGGAAGTGAGGCTTTTTCTGAGGGGTGTAACCTCAGGTTAACAGAGGAAACAGCCTCAGGCCCTACCGGGCATCAAGGTGATGACTCTGAGGGAGGACTGAAAGTACCTCCCACCCTAGGTTGATGCTGCCCGGGCCCACTCTGCCTCTGCTGTCAACCTTGGGAGACTGCAGGCAAAGTTGACCCGGTGTGGCACTTCCTCACTTTTGTCTTGGGGTTGGTCCTCAAGGAAGTGAAGGCCTTGGTCTGAGGAGATGACAGTGTGGAGGGGAGCACATTAAGTCAGCAGAGGGAGGAGTCCCAGGCTCTGCGGGGAGTCAGGATAAGGACCCTTGGTGAGGACTGAAGGTCCACTTCCCCTTCTCCCCAGAAAAGAGGGAGTCTGACTGTCCCCTGTTCCCGGCCCTGGGAGGATCTGGGCTGGGGTGGCCAAATAGAATGAGCTCTAACTTCTGCCACAAGCTCGACCAGGAATTAAGGGCCTGCAGTGTTTCAGGATGGTAAAGTCTTGGTTGGAGGGGGAGACTTCAGGTCAACAGAGGGTGGGACAGGCCCTGCTAGGAATAAAAGTGAATACTCTGAAGTAGGACTGAGTGAGTCCCCCAGCATAACAAACCTTTGGCAGGGGTGGCTAGATTTGGTGTCTTTTTATTTTTGTCTCATGTGTCCCAGAGAAGTGAAAGCCTTGATCTGAGCCTGTGACATTAGCAGAGGGAGGAGTCCCAGGATCAGCTGAGAGTCAAGGTAAGGTAAAAATATTGAGGGAGGACTAATGGTACTCGCTAACCCAGATAGAAGGGGACCCACAGAAACTTCACCATGTCCCTGCTGTCAATTCTGGGACTATCTGGGCAAGACTGACCAGACATGGTATGCCCTCACTTCTTCCATGAGGTGGGTGCCAGTGCCTCCAGGAGGTGAGGCCTCAATCTTAGAGGGTGAGGTCAGGTCCTCAGAGGAGATGTGACCAGACCCTGCAAGAAGCAAAGAGGAATACTCTGAGAGAGGACAGAGGGTACTCCTCATCCCAGAACAGGTGGGATCCAGCCTTTGCTATCAGCCTGAGAGACTCCAGGTAGGGGTGGCTGGATGTGATGTCTCTTCACTTTTGTCTTAAGAGTCTCAGAGAGGTGAGGGCCTTGGACTGACCACGAAGGCAGGTCAACTGAGGGAGCCACATCAGGTCAGCAGAAGGACTCCTCCTGGACTACCAGCAGTCAAGGTAAGGACCTTTGGTGAGAACAGAGCAAAAGGTAACTCCCAATTGAGAGAAAAGAGATCCCACAGTCTGGCTGTCTCTTGTTCTCAGCCTTGGGAGGACCCAGGCAGGGTTGGTGGGATGTGGTGCACCCTCACTTTCTCCCAGGGTGGAGGAGGTGCCTCACAGAGGCGAGGTGTTGGTCTGATGGAACAGTGTCAGGTTGTAGCTCAGGCTATTCAGAGAGTAAAGACGGATTCTATGAGGGAGGACTTAGGGAATCCCCTATGGCAGAACAGATGGAGTTCAGCCCCTCTGTCAGCCCTGGAATGCCCAGGCAGGGGTGGCCAGATGTTGTGCTTTCTCACTTTTGTCTGGGTTCTCAGGAGGTTAGGACCTTGGTCTGAAAAGGTGACAGTCTGAAGGGAAGCCACTTTAGGTCTGCAGAAGGAGTCCCAGACTGCCAGGATTTAAGGTAAGGACCCTGAATGAGGACTGAGGGCACACTGCCCCTTCCTAGGACTGAAGGCACGCTCAGCCCTACCTTGCCCTTGTTTTCAGCTCTTGGAGGCTCTGGAGCATAGAAGCCAGAAGTGGTGCACTCTTAGTTCAGTCTTCGTAGTTTCAGGGAAGTGAATGCTTGTTCTGAGGCGGGTAGACCCAGTAAAGCAGAGGAAGGAGTCCCAGGCCCTGTCAGGCATCAAGATGACAAATGAGGGTACCTCTCACCTAGAATAGATGGGATCCCCACAGAGTTTGGCCAGCCCTTGCTGTCACTCTGTGAAGGCATGGTTGGAGGTGGTGCTCTCTCACTTCCTCTTTTTGATCTCAGGAATGCGAGATCTTATTCTGAGAATTTGCCTCAGGCCAGCAGAGGGGTAGAGTCCAGACCTTGCTAGGGGAAGGATGAGGACCTTAGTGAGCACAGAGGGAGACCATCCGCCCCAGAAGTGTGAGGACCTTACAGAATCCGCCTGCCACCCCAGTCAGCCCTGGGGAGCACAGAACTGTGCTTGCAGTCTGCAGCCTGAAAGGACCTCTGAATGCCTCTTACAGGGGCTTTAGGAACTGGGGGCGAGGGGCTTGGTCTGAGTTGCATGCACTCAGGTCACAGAAGAGAGGAGTCCCAGTCAAAGTGAGGCATATACTCTGAATATGTACCAAGGGCCCTATCCCCCAGAACAGAGGGAACCCAACCCCACAGCACCCAACCCCACCCACCCTACTGTCAACTCTGGAGCCTCAAGTTTTGCTGACTGGCTGCACCTGAAGAGCTTTCTCACATCTTCCTACAGTTTCCTAGGGGTCAGTCAGTCTAGGAAGACAGAAGACCTGTGAGTCCTTAGAGCTCAGCTAAAGAGAAGACCTACAAGTCAGCCTTTGTCAGAGCCATTATGGGTGAGTTCCTCAGCTGAGGCCACTAACACTGTCTCTCTCTCCCCAGGTCTGTGGGATCTCATCACCCACTCTTGCTCACACTCCTACCTGCTGCTCCCGACAAAGGTCATCATGCCTCACTTGCCAAAGCGCCCACGCCTCTCCTTTGAGCAAGGCTTTCAGGCCCCAGTTGAGGGACAGGAGTTGGTCGATGTACAGGTTCCCGCATCTGAGGAGGAGGAGGAGGGGGAGAACTCCTCTGTTTCCTCTTACTCTTGCAACTACTTTCCCTCCTCCTCCCCTTCCCCCTCTCCCTTTCCTCCCCCCCCCTCTTCTCCCTTGCCCTCAACCCCCTCCTTTATCTCCTCTTCCTCCCCTCCCTACTGCTCCTCCTCTTCCTCCTCCTCCTCCTTCTCTCCTCCGATTCTGGGAACTCTAAAGGAAGAGGTGCCTACTCTTGGGATGCTGAGTCCTCCCCAGAGTGCTCAGAGCTCCTATTTCTCCTCCACTTCATGGAGCACATCAGATGAAGAGCCCAGCAGCCAAGAAGAGGAGGAGAGTTCAAGCATGTTGCAGTCCTCAACAGATGCTGAATCCTTGCCCAAAGATCTACTAGAAGAAAAGGTGACTGATTTGCTGCATTCCCTGATCCTCAAGTATCAACTGAAGGATACCATCACAAAAGCGGAAATGCTCGAGGTTGTCACCGAAAGTTACAAAAACGAATTCCCTGTGATCTTTAATAAAGCATCTAAGTGCTTACAGATGATCTTTGGCATCGATGTGAAGGAAGTGGACCCCACTGGCCACTCCTATGTCCTTGTCAACTCACTAGATCTCACCTATAGTGAGGTGCTGAGTGACAACCAGAGCATGCCTAAAAATGGTCTCCTGATAACTATCCTGGGTGTGATATTCATAGAGGGTAACTGTGCCTCTGAAGAAAGTATCTGGGAGTTCCTGAATATGATGGGATTGTATGCTGGGGAGGAGCATTTCATTTATGGGGATCCGAGGAAGCTCCTTACTGTAGATTGGGTACGGGAAAATTACCTGGAATATCAGCAGGTGCCCCTAAGTGATCCTCCACTCTATGAATTTCTGTGGGGTCCAAGAGCACGTGCAGAAACGAGCAAGATGAAAGTCCTGGAATTTTTGGCCAAGGTCAAAGGATCTGATGCCATTGCCTTCTCAGACTGGTATGAGGAGGCTTTGAGAGATGAGGAAGAGAGAGCCAGGGCCAGGATAGACCCCATGGATAGGGGTGCTGCCATGTTCATTGCACAGCCTTAGTAAGCAACTTCACCTTCCCCAAGTGAAGAATGAGGCACATTCTTCACTCTGTGTTTAAAGAGGGCAGTGAAGGCTCTAAGTAGGGAGGGCCATAGTCAGGCTGGGGAGAACAGAGTGTACAACAACTTTATGTTCCTTTTCTATGTAGGTGGCACTGAGGTTTATCTTTTTTTTTTTTTTGAGACAGAGTCTCACTGTGTTGCCTGGGCTAGAGTGCCGTGGCGTCAGCCTAGCTCACAGCAACCTCAAACTCCTGGGCTCAAGCGATCCTCCTGCCTCAGCCTCCCGAGTAGCTGGGACTACAGGCATGTGCCACCATGCCCGGCTAATTTTTTCTATATATTTTTAGTTGTCCAATTAATTTCTTTCTAATTTTAGTAGAGACGGGGTCTCGCTCTTGCTCAGGCTGGTTTGGAACTCCTGAGCTCAAACAATCCGCCCGCCTCAGCCTCCCAGAGAGCTAGGATTACAGGTGTGAGCCACCGCACCCAGCCTATCTTTTGATATTTTTCAAATGCTATTCCTTTTAATAGAAAATTTATTATCTTTAGAATCTTGAGTATATTGAGGCCAGGTGCGGTGGCTAGCACTTTGGGAGGCTTAGGCAAGAGGCTTGCTTGAGGCTAGGAGTTTGGGAATCTAAGTTTATGAATAACATTGGTCACACATTTATTGATGTTTATCAATGATTGTCAGATTTACATAAAATATAGAGAAAAATGTACTTTGCTTAATTTTTGAATTCCTTTAACTCTTTTAGCCTATTCTGTAAAATTAAATGATAAATACCTGGATTTGTTTGGCTTATTCAAGAAAATAGGAGAAACGTTAATAAATATTAATAAATTAAACCTTCTGCTCACTAATTCTTTATTCACCAAATGGTAATTGGGTATTTTCTCTTTGGAAGTCATTGCAGGGATGTTTGGATAAGCAAGACACACCCCTACCCATAGAATGGTAGAGTCTAGGAACAGCAATCATATCAGCAAACTGCTGAGATGTCCTTTAAGACCAAAAGAACCAGTGAAAAGAATGAATGAGCAAGGAAGTGGGACTCTAGATGTGAGCTGTCAAGTGTAAATGCCTTGAGCCAAAGCAGTTTGGGGTTTGGGGAAACTGCAATTCCTGGTGTGGGAATTAATTTTAAGTTAAGCTGTGGGTGGTGGCAGGGGGCCAGACTCTCAGACAGTGCATCTTATAGATGAAAGAAAAGCCTGGAACGGAAAACTGCTTAGTAGTTACATTTAGGTTGTGGAAAAACTGGAGGGAAATCTGTGCCTGGAGCAGGTGTGGATGGTGTCCTGAACTCTTGTCCCAGGGCAGTTGAACACTGCATGAACTAGGTACTTCATACACATCATCTGTAAGAATTTCCTGAGAAGTAGAGTGGTAGTACCTAGAAGCCACTAGGCTGGCATTCTTTTTCCTTGGTGAGATCCAGAGCTCACTCCATTAAAGTGACATTAAAGGTAAATTATGTTGACTGTAATTTGGCCAAATCTAAGCAAGATCTAGGAGTTGGTGGCAGTGAAATGAATTAAAATTGTTTTGAATGGATGATCAGTTGGGAGGAAAGGAAGGAGTTGGTCTTTGACAAATTTAAATTCTAGGAGTTTTGAGTTATATAAACTGGGGGAAACTAACCTACACCCAAATTACTATATCCTCTAAGAGGGAAAATTTAATGAGTTTTATTTGTGAAACTGCATTTTTGGCTGACTTGATATTCCGTCTCCTATTCAGTTGCATATTTTCTGAGATGTCTTGGATAGATAAAAACAACAAAAGGAAAGGGTGGTAGGGTCTGCGGTCAATCATGTTCAAAATAACTGTCATTCGTTAAAGTTTCAGTATAAGCCAGGCATTGTGCCAGGTGCTTTATTCACATTACATACACTCCAGCAGTCCTATAAGACAGGGCTTATCAAATCCACTTTATATATGAACAACCTGAGGCTCATAGAGTTTGGTAATTTCCCCAAGATCGTATGGCTAGTAAGTGAAAGGACTGGGACTTGACCCCTGGTCTGAGTTCATGTAGAGTACACATTGGTCCCACTCCTCCCAGCCTTCTGTTTCTTAACTAATTTCTCTTCCCACTTCTCCATAATGTCTCTTAGGTGACAAAAAGAAGGACCCTGTGCCAAGGTACTAAAAACAGGCCTAAAGAAGGAAGGGAAAATGAGAATAAAACATTATGTGAGGATTGTCTGAGCTCTATTTAACCTAGTGTCCTCTTGCCTGGAGCTCCGGGATATCTCAATAGCTGAGTCAGTCCAGGTGATGGCATTTTAGTCCTATCCCAGCACTTTCCCACATTACAGCACCCTTCCCTTGGTGTTACCCATTGTGCCTTCCTGTCAAACTCTGGAACCTGGCCTGATGACCAGCTAGTTACTGTGGCCTCCTCCGAGGGCTGTGCCCTGCTCACAGTGGAACAATCCAGAATCACCTGACCTCTCTTTGACATAGGGTATTTCTACTCCCTGAAGACATCCCCTGATTGTCTCATTCCCTCATTCTGGAACCCCCCTGCTATGGTTTGAATGATGGTGTCACCTCCAAAATTCATGCTGAAACTTAACTCCCAATGCAACAGTATTAAGAGGTGTGGTTTTTAGGAGGTGATTAAGTCACGAGGGCTCCACCCTCACAAATGGGATTAGCACCCTTACAAAAGGGCTGGAAGTTGAAAGAAGAGCTCTCTTGATCTTCTGTCCTTTCTGCCTTGCTATGACACTTGCTTCTCTCTGGAGGATGCAGCCGAAAGGATTCATCTTGGAAGCAGCAGCCCTTACCATACACCAATCCTGATGGCACCTTGATCTTGGACTTTCCAGGCTCCAGAACCATGGGAAAAACATTTCTATTGTCTACAAATTATCCAATCTATGTTATTAATATTTTGTTATAGTAGCACAAACAGACTAAGACACCCTCTAATAGTAGCAGCTCCTTTAACTTAAAAGTTCAGTTTGGACGGTGTTGTTTACAGTGATCTGTAGTATATTGAATGGTGACCCCCTAAAAGATATGTCCAAGTCCTAATTTCCATTACCTGTGAATGTAGCCTTATTCAGAAATAGTTTTTGCAGATGTAATTACATTAAGCATCTTGAGAAGAGATCATCTTGAATTTAGGGTGGGCCCTAAATCCCATGACTGGTATAAGAGAAAGGAGAGGGAGATTTGACACACAGAGAGACACAGAAAAATGGAATGTGAAGAATGGAGGCAGAGATTGGAGTGATGCATCTACAGAGGAATTTAAAGGATTGCTAGCAACTACCAGAAGCTAGGACAGAGCTATGGAATGGATTCTCCCTCAAAGTTTCCAGAAGAAACCAACCTGCTAACACCTTAATTTTGGTCTGTTGGCCACTAGAACTATGATAAAATTCATTTCTGTTGTTTTAAAGCACCCAGTTTGTAGTAACTTGATATGGAAGCCCTAGGAAACTAATACATGGCCATCTCTCTCAGGTATATTTAACGCATTCTTAAAGCATTTTCCAGATCGGCTTGTAAATAGAATTTGATTTGGCACATAATCTACTGTTTATTGGGATATAACCCTGAAGTTAGATAGATGGATTTTAACATCACCTTGATATTTGCAGTAGAATTTTAACGTGATGTATTTTTTTGAAATTGGCCACTGTACAAATACATAGATGAATGAGCTTGCCCATGTGGTTAAAAAACAAAGCCTCTCTCATACATGGTAGATGAGGAAAGGCCATCAAAATCTCTGTGTAACAATTCACAATTGCAAAGATGTGGAAACAACCCAAGTGCCCATCAATACATAAGTGGATTAATAAAATGTGGTATATGTATACCATGGAGTACTATTCAGCTTTAAGAAACAATGGTGATATAGCACCTCTTGTATACTCCTGGATAGAGCTGGAACGCATTCTACTAAGTGAAGTATCCCAAGAATGGAAAAACAAGCCACATGTACTCACCATCAAATTGGTATTAACTGATCAACATATAAGTGTACATATAAGAATAACATCTATTGGATGTCAAGCAGGGGGAGAGGGGGAGGAGGGGACGGGTATATGCACACACAAAGAGTGCAATGTGCACCACCCGAAGGATGGACATACTTGAAACTCAGACTTGGCGGGGGTGGGGGGCAAGGGCAACATATGTAACCTAAACATCTGTACCTCCATAATATGCTGAAATGAAAAAAAAAACGAAAAAAATATCTCTGTGTAAGAAAACATATACAGAGATTGAATTCTTCAAATCCATGAAGTCCTTCAAGGAGATAAGCAATGGTTCCTTAGCAGACATGCTAGTTCTGATTAAAAAAGAAAAAAAATATCCATTGTTCTGGACTGCATGTTTATGTCCCCTTCACTCCAATTCATACGTTGAAACTCTAAACCCGATAGAATGGTATGGTATTAGGAGGTAGGTCCTTTGGGAGGTGGTTAGATTTGGATGTTTTCATGATGGTGGAGCCCTCATGATGGGATTAGTGTGTTTGTAAGAGAGAAAGAGACCAGAGCACTCTCATATGCATGTGCACTCTCTCTCCCCATCCCCCTCACGTGAGAATGCAATGAGAAGACAGCTATTGACAAACCAGGAAGATAGCCCTCATCAGACACCAAATCTGTGGGCACCCTTATCTTGGACTTCCCAGCTTCCAGAACTGTGAAAATAAATGTTTGGTTTTTAAGCCATTCAGTCAATGGTATCTTGTTATAGCCGCCCAAGCTGACTAAGACAACCATCCTTCCACTGCCCCTTGTCTGTGTACCTGACCTACAGAAAAATACTGGTTTGCAATGTGCCAAAAATGACCTGTATAGATGTTCAGAATGTTTGGTCATTTGGAGGGGTAGCAGAGCCTTGCGAGTTAAGGTTTTGACAATGTATCCTAAAGAAGGAGAAAATTTCCAGCCTATCAAGGTTATAGAGGTTATTGCAAAGGGCAGTGTAGAAAAGTTCTATTGGGTGAAGAAAAGTGAATT